TCAAGGAATGATATTAATTTGGTCTACTTCAAAAAAATAAAATGTGAGCGTAGATTTTTAAACACCGCAAACGAGATACGTGGTTTGGTAGTTTCACCGTCGATATGTGTATACGTCATATATCGTGCCCGTAGAAACTCGGAGGACATCCATGCTCCGTCCATCCACCCTTCACGCCTTTCAAATGGACCAGTGGACAAAATTCCTTTTCTTCGATTTTGATTATTCACGGATCATCGATGAAAGTTCATTTCATTCGCGCGAAACTTATTGAATTCAAAACCGCTTTTCAAAAAGTTGCGACCTTGCAAACGGTAACTCTCTCAGTTTTGCAATAGAATCTGATGACCGAAGCAAGAATAATTGTACTACATTTTGCAATTTGGACCTATAAATTCTGGCTCATCTGAAAAAACACTTATGGGCGTAGGGAAATTAATGGCACATACGTTGTTTTTAAACCGGGCCGGAATTTATAGTTCCTAATTGCAAAATGTAGTGCAATTAAAATCCACATTATGAACCAAACGTTTGGGCTCTCATTGTTTAGGTTCTCAGGCGTTGCCGAGTTTCCTCCGATAAAAACCGAATTTACTGGTAAATTTCGAATATTATTTTTCAAAGTTTTCAGACAATCTTGTACGCAATTCAATATAAAATATTTGAAATTTCAAGGAAAGATAAGCACGAATGTTGTCACAAATTCATGTTTTATCATCTCTCAAATGTTCATACGGCGTTCTTCTCTAGCACGCCAGAGCAGCTGAAGTAAGGGTGCCTCGCGGCTTATCCCTTTGACCTGGGTCAGAGGCTCAGAGGTCCGCTACTATCTCGATACATTAGTTTAGCATACTGATGTCAGGATTGCATACCCGACAAATTGAAGGAACTTTTAGCGATTGTAGTGATCTGCGACTATTTAGCCAAATTAGAGTGCCCAACAACGGAAAATTTTAGGTATTCTTTTTTGGCGGAATTTGTGGAAAAGTGGTTACAATCGTTGAGCCCCTCTCAGGTACCCAGATTTAAATAAATAATTATTAACTATCTAATAAATAACCTAATAATCTTATGCAAAAACAAAGAAAAAAGAAAAAATGAAGGCATTACATTTAATTTTCGGTTCTAATGACATTATTTCATCATTCATTCATCATTCTTATGACAGTTTTAGTGAGGGGGGGGGGTTTGGTTCGCATTTTTCTGGACCCCTCCCCCGTGTTTTGCTAATTGGACCCACGTCCCTACTTAATCTACTACGTAGATGTCAAGAGGCCGCCCCCCCCCTCGGATTAAGGCACCCCTTAGAATATTCTTATTTCCCTGGAATTCATTCCATAAAGAAACCCAACCCACCAGGGACTGCCCCACCTGACATCCAAACGACCCGACCCTCGATGTGGTCCCCCTGGCATCCAAGAAGCCCAACCTCCAGGGGCTGGCCCCCTTGGCATCCAAGAAGTCCAACACCCAGGGGCTGCTCCCCTTGGTATCCAAGAGTCCCAACCCCCAGGGCCCTTGGAATCAAAGGAGGGCAACCCCCTCTGGGCTATCCGACCTGACATGCCATGCGACCCAACCCTCGAGGCTACCTCCCTGGCATCCAAGGAGGCCAACCCTCCGGGGGCTGCCCCACCTGACAACCAAGGAATCAAACCCAGGGGCTGCTCGGCTCCTGGAGCTACGACGGCAACTCCATCGACGGACAGCTCGACAGGGCCAAGGTAAGTTTTAGCACAGAATACCTAACAAGAAGACATCATATTTACCCTAAATTTTCGTAGTATGGTACATTTTTTCTCGCAAATCAAAACCTACTCCGGAGTTCGAATAGTTGCTCGTATCGATGCAACATTAAATTTCCCTAGAAACGGAGAAGAAAGGCGCGTAATTTCTTTTGATTTAATGAAACCGTCGAAAATATCGCGTGTATCTCGCGATTTTAAGGTGAGCTCGCGTAATTTTGCTCCTCTTCACTTGCAAAAACGATGCGAACAACTATTCGAACTCTGAAGAAGGTATGTGGTATCACGCTAAATTGAAGGAAAACCATGGCTTTGTAACTATTCGAACTCCGGAGTAGGTATATGGTTTCACGCTAAATTGAAGGAAAACCATAGATTTGCAACTATTCAAGCTACTGACGTTAATGAATTTAATGCTTGCATCGTAGCGAGCAACTATTCGAACTCCGGAGTAGGTATGTGGTATCACGCTAAATTGAAGGAAAACCATAGCTTTCAGGGTTGCCAGCCAAATTATTTTTTTCAATTCCCTGACTTTTCCCTGACTTTTCCCTGACTTTCCAATATTTTTCCCTGACTTTTTTAAGTATGGATCTGACGCGATCTGTTGAAGTGAAAATGAGTCAGTTGATCCCGCAACGCGAGCCCGAGACCGCCCGCGCCTAATTCCACGAAAAATCAGAAAAATCCCTGACCAACACCGAAATTCCCTGATTTTCCCTGACTTTTCCCGGTCGCTGGCAACCCTGAGCTCTGCAACTATTGAAGCTACTGACGTTAATGACTTTAATGTTCGCATCGTTGCGAGCAATTATTTGAACTCCGGAGTAGGTATGTAGTATCACGCTAAATTGAAGGAAAACCATGGCTTTGCAACTATTCGAACTCCGGAGTAGGTATGTGGTATCACGCTAAATTAAAGGAAAACCATTGCTGTGCAACTATTCAAACTACTGACGTTAATGAATTTAATGTTCGCATCGATACGAGCAACTATTCGAACTCCGGAGTAGGTATGTGGTATCACGCTTAATTGAAGGAAAACCATGGCTTTGCAACTATTCGAACTCCGGAGTAGGTATATGGTATCACGCTAAATTGAAGGAAAACCATAGCTTTGCAACTATTCAAGCTACTGACGTTTATGAATTTAATACTTGTATCGTTGCGAGCAATTACTCAAACTCTGGAGAAGGTATGTGGTATCACGCTAAATTGAAGGAACCATAGCTTTGCAACTATTCAAGCTACTGACGTCTATGAATTTAATGCCTGCGGCGTTGCGGGCAACTATTCGAACTCTGGAGTAGGTATGTGGTATCACGCTAAATTGAAGGAAAACCATTGATTTGCAACTATTCAAGCTGCTGATGTTTATGAATGCCCGATTACTCGAGAAATCTTCTGTATAAGATAGGAGAAATTACGCGATAAGCCTTGCAATATCGTAGCAAATACGCAGTTTTTCCAGCGGTTTTATAAAATCATTCAAAATATCGCGTTATTCACCTCTACATCGGCACATACACCAAGTTACTTTCGGTTGATTGAGAACACACAATTTTCTACTCGATATCGCGGAAAAAACAGCATTTTCTTATGGATGAGAGCATAAAATTCAGTAAAGTCAGACTTGAGATAGATGAGAAGCTATGATTCTCCTTCAATTTCGCGTGATACTACAAACCTACTCCACGTTCCAACAGTTGCGTGATTGGTGTCCGTGTGTGAAAAACGCGAGATTACGGAAGTTATCTCATTATCGCGAGGAAGGCATTCACGATATTTTCAGACGATTCCTTAAATCGAAAGTGATTACGTGCTTTCCATTTCGGTATAGCGGAAAATGCGTGATTTTTCTGGAGATTTTTTTTAAAAGATGAGAAGATACGCGATAATCACCGCAACATCGAGGCAAGTACTCATTGATCAAGCCTGTTAAATCACTAAAAATTATGCGCTACTTATGTCAGTATCACCTCATATTCTCAAATTTTCCAGTAATTGATTGACAACGAAAAAAACCACACATTTATCACATCAATATTGTTTCAGATACGCGACTTTTACATCGATGCGAGCATATTCATAAAAATCAGTAATTTACGATAGGCGAGAAGCTATAAATTTCCTTCAATATCGCGTGATACCACACATCTACTTCGGAGTTCGAATAGTTGCTCGCTCAATTTCCGCGTGTGAGAGGTTACGCGAGATTCGTCAGCGGAGTCCACCAATGCATAGAAATTACGTGCTCTCCATCTCGTTATAGCGGAAAATGCGTCATTTTTCCGGCAATATTTTTCAGACAATGAGAAAATACGCGATGATCACCGTAATATCCAGACCAGTACCTACAAATTTTCCGCAAAATTAAGGTGAAAATTGTGTGTTCAATTAACTATTGGAAAATTTGTATACAAGCAATACAGGGTGGGCCTAAAATAACTGAATTGTGACTATATCTTCTGAAAAACCAGAGATAAGATGTTCCGGTTTGAACTATTGCTCACTGTGGCAAGGGCCTGATTTTTTTTAGAGGTGGTTCATTTTGGCCCCGGAGACCTGCCTAAAGGAAGCAACTCGAAATTGTAGAATAGCAACCCCCCCCCCCTTGTGATACATCGTTGGAAAAATCATAAAAAACAAGAATCTCGCACAAACCGGAGATTAGTCCAACTTATTGTTTTCAAGATATATATTTACGATAAAAGTTCAATTTGGACCAATTTTCATAAATGGATAACTCCGGTTTACAAAGTCGCAAAAGGCCGTCTACGAGTTGAAATTCATAGCACTGCTATTTCATTCATAGCTAAATTATCGGAGGATGTGCTTCTCGTTAGTTTGCTTGGGGAAGGAGGGGGGCTGAGGACGCTGATACGTCAGATTTTCAGGCGGCAAGCCGCCGCCCCCCCCCCCNAGCGAACTAACGAGAAGCACATCCTCCGATAATTTAGCTATAAATGAAATAGCAGTGCTATGGATTTTAACCTGTAGACGGCCTTTTGCGACTTCGCAAACCGGAATTATCCATTTATGAAAATTGGTCCAAATTGAACTTTTATCGTAAATATCGAGAAGCACATCTTCCGATACTTTAGATATGAATGAACTACCCACTCGACTAAAAAAAAACCGATATCTATGCGAGCAAAACACCATTGGTAATAAATATTTACAATGCAACAAAAAATACGCCTTGAGATGGAAGGAAGAATATATTAAATATATGAGCTTCAAAAGGTGACTTACCGATTTCGAAGGAGGTAGTGGGCCTTCACCATGCGAGCTGAAAACAAAAAGGAAGGCTTAGTTAATGAACTAATAAGAGATCAGTTTCTTTCAATGATTAATTTTTACTAAAAGTTTCCGCCAAAAAGGGCACGAAGACTGGAGTTACGTGAGTTTCGCAGAATGATCCTGTAGCAAACTTCAGCAAGAGCATAAAGAAGGGTTGTTTTTAAAAGAGAATGGCTCAAAAATCACTCTGAGCGCATCAAGAAAGCCTGAAATACACTCTTAATTTCACTATCTGTATGAGAACTACGCGCTTTTTCAAGCTCCCCTCTTCAAAAAAGATACTATCTCGGCACGGGTGAATATTTCGTGAGAGGAGTCGTTCCATCCAACCCTTGCGCACAAGGATGCTACACAATATTCAACATGGCTGACGCTTCTGCGCGCAAAGTGGGATGAAGAACCATAGTCTTCATCAACCCAAGGAAAATGTAAATATAAACACGCCGGTTGATAAAATCCAGTCTCCTCCCGTAGTATCGTTGTATCGTTTTTGAAGCAGCACGGAGGAAAAAACTTCGTGCATGGGACCCGAAGTTGAGGTCATATGGATCTCTGATGTTTCCTGATCACGCATCCGAAAAATTAAGGTCGAGCTGCCGAAGTTCAGGTCAGACATTGAGGCACTTCGGTATGTACCGGAGTACTTCAGATGTGTGACCCGAACCCTTCGGTATTATTAAATCGAAGCACTTCAGATGTCCGACCCGAACTTCGGCAGCTTGACCTTAAGTTTTTAGATGCGTGTCCGAAAACTTCAGAGATCCATATGACCTCAACTTCGAGTCTCACGCACGAAATTTTTTCTCCGTGAGGAAGCTTCAAAAGACACATGCATACTTCTCACGCAGATAGTGAAGTTAGAAGTGTATTTCAGACTTACCCAATGCGCTCACAAAGATTTTTGAGTCATTTTCTACAAGAAATAACTCTTCTTTTGGCTCTAGCTGAATAATTAGCAACAAGCCTACTTGCAAATGTGCTGTTTATTTAGAGAAATTATTAACAGGGGAATGCTTTCCTGTGACATAGGCGTAGTTATAGACTTTTAATATGGGAACTCTAGCTCCTCTATCTCTAGGGGGTTTGGGAGCAATAAAATAACCTCCCAGTACCGAGGGGGGGGGGGGGGTGTGTCTGTACGCCATCTCCCGAATATTTATGAAATTTTAAATCTATTTGGACGCATTTTGAGACTTGTATCTGGCGCAACTGACCCATTTGACTTGCAACTGTCAACTGCCGAGAGACAATTGATGAAATTCAAAAACAAGAAAGGAAGAACTATTAGATACGTACCAGATGAGAGTTATCCAATTGCCCGACGCCAAGCTGAAAGCACTCACGACACGACACCATCACTGAAACCATGTACAGATTCACCAGGAAATGAAACATATCTATGCATATTAGCATATTTGCTTAGCTAAAATTATACTAACTAACTAACTTAAATTCTGCTCAGAAAAGGTGTTTACAATGATAGATGACATAAAAAAAAATATGGGAAAAATCGTAAAAATAAAATGATGGTAAGGATAAGCAGTTAAACGTGCATCTTGAAACTAGAAATACGTACAACCAGGAACAAATCTTCCTGTGGATTATTAAAAAACGAAAAGAGGAAAGAAACAACCATAGCGTATATTGTTAGAACATGAATTGTTCCATTATATTAACTTCCAGATGTATATGCAAAATTTTCCAATTCTTGTTTTCAATTGATTTCTTTGCTTCAATGTTTCATTTTTCTTCTTTAACGAGTTGTATCATGGTACACATTTCCATTTTCGCGCAATGTGAATTCACATCGGGCGAAAAAGAAAATGTGAGTGCCATCTTTGCTTTAAATTGAACAAAATTAACATTTGTGTTGATTTCGTATACCTAATAAAACATATGACTTGATTAATTGACGTTCGACCAGTATCGTGGATGCAAGTCGTACCTAAGTCGCATCATTCGGTTTAAAATCACTAAATTTTGTGTTTTGCACTTCAATGGCTTTATGGCGTGGAGATTTTTTATACAAAGCGAAAACCTACAATATTGGCTGCCAAGTTCGTGGCTTTAACTTCAAAGCTGACTCTTGAAGACCGAGGATCCGACAACCATTTCAAGGAAAATAACAAGAAGAGAAATTAAATTCGCTTTAAAAAAAAATTCGTATACTTTTCGCCGGGAAGAAAGAATTTCAAGGTTCCGCTGCAAAAAATACTTGACGTTACAAGGTTGGGCAAAATTCCTCGACTATTCGAATTTCGAGGTTAGGAGAAATTCCCTATTTTTCAGGGCTGTGCTGAATTCCTTGGACTTCCCCAGATTCTCGATGACTATTGAAGGGCTGTTCACCCTGGGATGTACATCATTATCAGGGCTGCCGATACTCAGAGTGACGGAGTTTTTTACACGACCGCTCCTCGTGATTATAAATCTTATTCAGTTGCTACTCACTGTTCTCCATTTTCCTCAATTTGATCCACCATTTCTGGATTTGAACTCACACTCTACTCAATGTTTCTCGATTTTAATCTCTCCTTCCTCACCCCGATACTCAAGAGTTTCGCAAATTTTTTACACGACCGCTCCTCGTCGTTAAAAATCTTATTCAGTTGCTACTCACCGTTCTCGATTTTCCTCAATTTGATTCACCGTTTCTGGATTTGAACTCACATTTAACTCACAGTTTCTCAATTTTACTCTCTCCTCCCTCACCATGTCTCGATTTCATTCCCTCTTTATTCTCCGATCTCGATTTTCCTCAATTGGAATCACGAATTCTAGATTTTAACTCACACTTTCCTCTCTCTTTACTCACCGTGTCTCGATTTTACTCTCTCTTTACTCACCGTGTCTCGATTTTACTCTCTCTTTACTCACCGTGTCTCGATTTTACTCTCTCTTTACTCACCGTGTCTCGATTTCACTCCCTCTTTATTCTCTCTCTTTCTCTTAATTCTAATTTTCCTCACTTCAATTTACAGTTTTTAAATTTGAACTCATTTTACTCACTATTTCTCGCTTTTACTCTCTCTTTACTCACCGTGGCTCGATTTTAATCCCTCTTTGATCTCCGCTCTCGATTTTACTCACTCTTCACTCACCGTTCTCAATTAAACTCACTCATTACCTACACAATCGCGCGAGGTATGAATTTCCTTAAAATCATCCATCGCTCCATCGATCCCTTCAACAGAATTTGGTACAATTTGATGGACAATTACTCTCATATTCTCAGCAGATCATTAAATTACTTGCGGATCTCGGATTCCTCACCAACTGCTAATTACTCACATTCTACTCACCGATGCTCGAGTTACTCAATAATCGGCAGCCCTGATTTGCTTACTAACTAAGAAATATTGGATTCATAACTCGTAACTAAAAGAACAGTTTCCTTGCCAGTTATTCCTTAAGCTTAGAGAAAAATAATCGTTGTTTTAAGGAACAGCTATTCCTATTCTTAAAAGTTCTGCTGCTCATTCTTCTTTGTCTAGCACTGGCTGCTATAACTTCCTCTCCTCTTGCTAAACAGAATTACTACACTGGAAAAAAAGGACTCTTGATTCAATCAGATTTAAGCTTAAATCCGATTGAATCATAAGGGTATTTTTTCTTGTCTATGTTTTTTTTTTTTTTTTTTTTTTTTTTTTTTTTTTTTTTTTTTTTTTAAGTGTCCCTCAAAATTTGAGGAAAATGACAAGTAGCAGAAAAAATGAAAGTAATCGATACGAGTCACCTTTGGTGATTCGATGGACGCCATATTTTGTGTCAGAACGCCATGCGATATATCGCATCGATTGGTTCCATTTTTTCGGCTACTCGTAATTTTTCTCGAATTTTGAGGTAGCAGTTCTGTTGCCCGGGGACTAAAGCATTCACTTACCAATTTTCACAAACAAATCCAACGTATTAAGGGCGTGGTTCTTTTAGGGGGAAAATATCGCATTCGACACTGATGTCGAAACTGCACTCGAATGCGATATTTTTCCCCTGAAAAAACCACGCCTATAATACGTTGAATTTGGTTCTCAAAATTGATATGTGAATTCTTTAGCCTCCTGGCAACAGAATTGCGATCTCAAAATATGAGAAAAATGACGATTAGCTGAAAAAATGGGACCAATCGATGCAATACATCGCATGTCGTTCTGACACAAAATATGGCGTCCATCGAATCACTATAAGATCAAGAGTGAGTGAATACGAGGGATAAAATTCTCATACTTCCTACTCCTACCTCAAAATTCCTAGTCTCAACGTGCCCCTTAAGGTGATTCCTCCCAGGAAGCAAACAAACATGGATATGTCGAACAAATTTTGCTGTCGTACGAGTTTGGCTTTTCAGTCTTTGCGAAATAGTACTGAGAAAGTGTAGAAGCATACTTCAGAAGTCTGTTGGTGAAAAGTATCTTCCCAAAACCTCTAAATTAAAGCCAAACGAGACTGAACGCGACGCATTCGATTATTCAAATAGATTGCGATATTTCGCGTTAAGTCTCGTTAGGCTTTAATTTAGGGGGTTTGGGAAGATATTTTTCACCAACAGACAGCAGAAGTATGCTTTTACAAGGTTTCAGCACTTTTTTGCAGAGAGTGAAAAGCAAAGCTCGAATTGCAGCAAAATTTGTTCGACTGATCGATGTTTGTTTGCTTCCCGAGTGGAATCACCTTAACCCAAAACCTGGCCTAACCCAACCCCTCGTCCCAACCCAAACGCCCTCCCCCCTCCTAGCCTTCGCCCACCTAAACTCGTAAGTCCCGCCTTACCAAGTCAGTCAACTGACGCCTAACCTGTTTCAGCTAACCCCGAGGTCAATGAAACGTAGGTATACTCTTATTGACTCTTTCGGTCAAAAGTGTGCTTCCGACTCCCGCCGCTGGAGCTGAGGCGCGAAATTTGAATTTCGATAACTTTACATTCTTGGCCAACGGCCAGGGCTAAAAAGTTGTTGAAATTCATATTTCGCGCCACAGCTCTAGCGGTGGGAGCCAAAAGCCGAGTTTGGACTGAAAGAGACTGAAAGAGACTGAAAGAACCTACCTACGTTTCATTGAACTCGGCCTTACCCAACCCAACACACATTCAAACTAGACCTAACTTCTAAAATAAACAGTGCCCAGACCCCCGCTCCCGCCCGATTCCCCTCTAACCCGTCCCCTAATCCCAACCCAATCCCCCCACCATACCCCTAACCCTCGCCCGCCGCCTGCCTTAGGCCTATCAATCCCGCCTAGTTAACCTGACCTTACCTGGCATAACACAGCACACCTCACACAGAGAAAAAAAATTCGTGCGTGGGACCGGAAGTTGAGATCTTAGGGATCTCTGATCCGAAAACTTGAGGTCCAGCTGCCAAAGTTCAAGTCAGATGTGTGACCCGAACCCTTCGGCATCGGTTTTCGGATCCGTGATCCGAAAACTTCAGAAATCCATTTATTTGACCTCAACTTCGGGTCTCACGTACAAAGTTTCTTTCTCCGTGCACCACACCACACCACACCACACCACACCACACCACACCACACCACACCACACCACACCACACCGCACCACACCACACACCACACCATACCACACCACAACACAACATAACCAAGTCAACCACGCGGTAAAAAACTCGTTTTTACCGCAGCTGTAACCAGGGAGCCAATCCCAAGGTCACTGACCAAGGGTAAAAAGGGCACCTCCACGGTGCCGGCAACCATCCACCAGGGCAGACGTGCGGCCGGGGCGGTGTCTGCGGTCGCTCCTCTAGTGCCTCCAGACGGTACGCGACCCCCGCCGACCGGGTGGACGACCGCGCGCCGGGCGCTCCGACGAGTGCTCGGTCGGACGACAGCGCCTCCAACTCAACTTCACTTTCAGACCGAGGCTAAAGGCCTCCGCCTGAAAGTGAAGCTGATACGGAGTCACTGTCATCACGGTAGAGCAGTCGACGGAGTGTCCAGCGGGTGTCCACCCGCTCGTCGGACGTCGGACACGACCCCCGCCGACCGGGTGGACGACCGCGCGCCGGGCGCTCCGACGAGTGCTCGGTCGGACGACAGAGCCTCCAACTCAACTTCACTTTCAGACCGAGGCTGAAGGCCTCAGTCTGAAAGTGAAGCTGATACGGAGGCGCTGTCATCACGGTAGAGCAGTCGACGGAGCGTCCAGCGGGTGTCCACCCGATCGTCGGACGTCGGACCGTAAGGAGGCACTATAACCGAAACTGACGGCCGTCGTTGTCGTTGTGCGTCACGGCTGTGAAGTGCACGTCGCGGCTGATACGGAACTTCCGGGACCTCTTTAAGGTGATGCGATGGACGCCATATTTTGTGTCAGAACGGCATGCGATATATCGCATGCCGTTCTGACATAAAATATGCCGTCCATCGAATCACCTAAAGCTCGGGTCAAAATCACAGTGCGGAGCTCGGTTTCCACCATCAAATTGAGCCCATCAAAATTGATCACCGGTGGAACTGTGGGCTCAATTTGATCGTGGAAACGGAGCTCCACGCTGTGAGTTTGACCCGAGCACATACACCGATTGCACAAGTCCCAAATGGGAACCGATACGACAAGTTCAGCTCATCGTCTCGACTCCCATTTGGAACGTGTGTAATCAGCTCTTCCAACCTCTGCACCCTCCCTCTAAAAGGCACTCACCCTCGAGACTTTCTTCAAGTTGATGCTCAAATGCTGAAATACATTTATAATTTTTACTTCTATTTCAAGTAACTCAATATTAACTTTCAATTATGACTTAACGCATTAATATTTCAATTGCAGAGGTGTGAGTGCCGAAGTTGCTAAGGCACCTCTTAAAAATAAAACTTATTACTGTACCACTACTATTACTACTACTACTACTGCTGCTGCTTTTACTACTACTGCACAAGATATACATAGGGAGAAAGAAGAACAGTCGGTAGTGATGTCATATATCGCAGTTTCAGGCCCGCAAGTTTGCATTACGTCAGTAAAATGTATTTTTTTGCTTCTGGTAACACTGTTTCCGTACGAAGAGAGCGCATCCGAGAACCTACTTCTTTCAGATGCATTAGCTAAGGAAGTTGTTTAAAATTTGTTTGTTAGAAAAATATTAAGGAGAGAGAAAAGAAAAGCCGCAAATTTCATAAAATAGCACGACTAGTTGCAAATATTAAGTTGGAAATCTAAATTAACGTGAATACTGATAATCTGAAAACGTCCTCTCAGATAGCTCGAGCGAAAAATCGCGTTGGTTTTTTTATAGGGAGCTTCAGTGATAATTTTATTTATTTCACGAATCAAGAGTAACATCTTTGAACGATTTTACTCCCTAGAATTACAAATCATGAGGACAGGGCATCAATACGATTCGAAAAGATAACTATCATAAAAATAAAACTGAAATATTGAATGAGAGATCAGCATCATAGCTACTTGAACTTGCACAACGACATCAAAAAATGAGGCATTACAGTACTACGGAGGAGGGGGCACTGAGAGTACTAGGAACCCCCTCTCCCCGTCAGAGAGTTTGAATTTATAAACTTCCCCCTTCCAATGAAAAATTTCTGGCTATTCCACCGGTATGAAATAAAAACTACGGCACAAGGACTCAAGTGAACTTTTTCCACCGGTATGAAATAAAAACTACGGCACAAGGACTCAAGTGAACTTTTTCCACCGGTATGAAATAAAAACTATGGCACAAGGACTCAAGTGAACTTTTAAAAAATCTCTGCAATGGAGCTTCAGAAAAAAGCATGTTTTTCCATTATATTGGTTTCTGATCTATTGCTACAGTGATGTGCGACAAGACATGCATGAGGACAAGAAAAAAAGAGAAGCGAAAAAGTTGAGTTTCAGCTGCGATAAATTGCTGATTAGGCGCCACGCACTACCAGATGCCCTACCAACAACAAATAAATAAAAAAGCGACACGTCCTGATTATCAGAACGCGCAACCACTAGCGACTTGCTTCATGTACTGGGAGGGGAATAAGTTCCTCCTTTGATCAAGGAAAAATGAAAAAAATAAATCGATAAAAAGCCGCGATAACGGTAGATACCTAGCTCTAAAAATACTGTCGCTAACTTGACAACTAAATGGTGAAGAAATCACCTACCCACTAATGTTTATAGGACGTAAAATTCCCCCGGCTCCAAGAGCAAATAACAACTGCCGTGATAAGGCTAATGAGAGATGGGACTGCTCGAGAGCCAAAGCGTTTCTCACCAAGAAAAGATGCGAGGAAAAAAGGATCAAAATTCGGAGAAACTGCGATGACTTTCACGGCAAGAAAAAGTTGGGTTTCTAGATTTTACATAAAGCTCTGGGCGGTAATGGGCCAGGGCCACCTAGTGAATGAAAATTGTATGTTTCTGCAACCCAGAATTATCATCGTTCACCTACCCCACCGATACTGATGGCAATAAAACTTTTGGATAAAATTGTTTTTATCTCTGAATCCCAAGTTGTTTGGGTTCACAGAGAGGGGATTTTTCATTGTAAAACTATAGCACTCCGATGTCAGTCAGGATCCAAACGCAACACGAGCAGTTATGCATAATAACAAGCTTTAGTAAATCCGTGAGAAATCAAGAAAATACCGATTCTAATCGGTGTAGAAGTAAATGC